GGCCAGGCAAGCGGATGCAGCACAGAAAGACCTGCTGTGCCCTGCAGCTACATCAGCACCTCCAAGGGGCTCTCTGGGAAACAGGCTTCACGCGCTTGGCCCTGGGAGAATGGAATGCAAGCCCAGAAAGCGATGATGGACCCTTGACTGTCGTCCACTGGACACAAACCCTCTCCTGGGCCCACATCAGCCCAGGGTCTGCTTACTAGTTAATGTTAGGAATCAACATGGAAGTGAGCTTGCCCCAGGGGGCTGGGCCTGAGGACTTGCGGGGTGGGGACAACCCAGCTAAGCGAAACCTCTTTGCAAAGCTCTGCTATAGAGTTTGATGGGTACTGTCCTCATTCCTTCCTTTGCATGCACATTTTAATTCATACTTTGCCCAAGAAATGGCCCTTCCAACCCGAGGTGGTCTCTGCCAGCAATAGGGAGGGGCTGGGCGTTTTACTGACTCATTTGACAATATGTGTGAAATGCTTCCTACCAGCGGCCGCCCGCCCAGGCAGTATCAGCCATGTGGCTTTCATCCTTCTAGACGTGGGGAAACGAAGACCCACAAGTGATGAGAGTAGTAAGGAACAGAACTGGGGCTCACCTAGGTCCTTCTCACCTGAAATCCTTGGAGGGCTCTTTCCTAAACTAGTGGTTCTCCACCAGCGGCTGGACCTAAGGAGCTTTTTAAAAATAGGATGCCCGGGGCACAGCTGCAGCAAGTCTAACTCGGCTTGGGGTACCAGTATGGATTTTTTTTTTTTCAAAATCTCCCCCAAATGATTCTAAGGTGCAGCCAGGGTGGAGAATCACCATTATAAACTGTAGTGGCCACCCAAGGATAAGGCAGGGATTTCTCTTGAACATCCCTTCTTTTCCTTCTTTAAGTTAGAATACCATCAGGGGGTTTAAGACTCTATTGAGATGAAAATCTTTCTATCCGTGGACAGGATGTAACCTACTTTATAGATGAAGAAGCTGAGGTTCTGAGTTGATCAATAACTCGCCCAAAGGGGCAGGGCCTCCCACGCAAAGGCTCTCGACTTTCAGCGATGACAAACAGAAAGGAGAGCCAGCTGCTGTCCGTCAATAATTTACTTCCTCATCGATGAAGCTGATTCACCGATTCAGGAAGTCTCCCCGAGTTACGGCCTGCATGTGAAGGAAGCTGCAGGTTTTGTAAGACGCATTTATCACAACGTGAGTGCAGCAATGGGGCACCCAATTGACATGCTTCGGAGGAAGGAACATCACCAAACGAATCCACCTGGGGCTTTCTGTTGTGGTCTTACCGTTCCTGGTATGTGGACAGTAAGATCCTTCACACCCTCATTTTGTTAATAAACCTCAGGGGCATCTGATGCAGACCCCCGATTAGGACTCCATTTAGAAAGACGGTAACAGGTTTTGGAATAAGAAAATCCATCCAATGTTCCAAGTGGCAGTAAAGGGGCAGGGGGAGAATCAGGAAAAAGGCTGAAAAAATAAATCCTCTTTTCTCTATTCCAATGAGAGCTAACGGTGACTACATAAACCAAGAACGAGACCACTACTCGAATAAGGGCATGTAATAAATATCCAGCTGCAGATATTTTTATAAGGCAGATGGTGTCAGAGCCGACAGCCCAGAGCCAGGCACAGGGATTCCAGGAGAGGGCGGAGACAAGCCTTAATCCATCAGCTTTAGCAAACCGTCCCCCCCACCCCCCCACCGCACCAAACTCTGAATGGTTCTGACAGGGATTTTTAAGCAAATCTCTCCTCTGCGTGTGAGACGTGCAGACTGATAGAGTCTAATGGATGGGTCTCCGAAGCCTGGAGGCAGGAAACATCGCTGCACACTTGTGTCCCTTGAAATTACACGGCTGAGCGAACGCCAGCCAATCTAATCTCAGCAGCCTCTGCACCGAGCCTCACGGTCATTGCTCCCAGATGCCACCCCGCCACCATGAACCTCAGGGGACTACCAAATGTGTGTGCGTGTGTACACACATACCTACAGATGCATTTATACAAATTTACACACAGAGGGAACCAACGTCTAGTTGTATGACCAATGACAGTTTACAAAGTGCTGCATAAATATCTTTTATTCAAAAGTCAAAAAGGGCGGGGTTGTTTCTGCAGCTCACGGTGGCCAAACCTCCCTCAGGATTTAAGGCGCTGCCATCCTCACGCGCAACAGGTTTTACAGAAACACACCCAGACCGTGGTCAGCCCCAGTTTAGCAAGCTGTTTAAGAGTCTATCCAAAAGGGTGGCGGAACAAGAAACAGACCTGAAAAAGCCTCTAGCCTTGGCCACCGTGCAAAGAAACCTAGAGCTCCTTAAGGTTTCTGCAGCCCCCAGAACCCGTGGGTCCCGCAGAAGCGACAGGCTGATGAAGGAGCAGCCCCCTGTGTCGGGAGCGCCTTGCCAGGTCCCGTCACCAGGATGACGTAGCAGCACCACAGGGCCAGAGCTCCCCACTCCCCAGGGCAGGTCTGGGGGGCGGGAGGTGGTGTTCAGACCTGGGCAAAGCCAGAGGCAGCGAGCAGTCCTGGTGGCCTCGGTGACCATTCCCTGAGGAACGTGGCAGCAGAGGCCAGCAGGCTGCCTCGTACTCAGGCACCAACGATGCCTAGAAGCCACCTTGAGGGTTTGCCCCTGGGGTCCTCCGTTTACTGTCAGGCAAGGCGACTGGGCCTCCAGAGAAACACCCATCACTCCTGCTAGACCCTATGCACCTGATGGGCGGGTAACCTGGAGAAGGTGCCACTTTCAAACCTTTTTTCTAAGAGGTGGCTCTCTCCGCAGCTAGGGACCCAGCCCAAGATAAACCTTTCCAAAGCGTTTATGGCCCGCGACAGGCGGGGAGGGGAACTGCCAGCAAATTCCGAGCACGGAGGAGTGTGTGCGTGCGCGTGAAACGCTGCCAAGTGTGCAGTCACCGACCCACAGACCCTTCCCAAACCGGGGGCAAAGGCTTGCTTTCCAAGCAGCTCTCTCGTGGCCCCCAGCACAGGAGCTGGAGGTGGGAGCGGGGAGAGGGAGGGAGAGAGGCGAAGGAATAGAATACAACGAAGGAAAGAGAGAAAGTGGAGAAAGAGAAGTAAAAAGAGAGAAGATAGAAATATAAAGAGAAGTAAAGGAGATTGGAAAGGAGGAGAAAGAAACAAGAGATGGAAATACATAGAAAGGCGGAGAGCGGGTGGAAATAGAGGAGAAGGAAGGAGGGAGGAGGGGAGAGAGACAGAAGAAGGGGTGGAGAGCCCCGAGGAGGTGCGGCACGTGCGAGCGGCCGCGTCCCTCGGCCGTTCCCGGCCCGGCAGGCGCCCAGGAGGGTGGCCCGGGCTGGCGACACGCGGGCGCCCCTTCCCAAGCGTCCTCGCAGCAAAGGCTTTCCGCAGCGCCCTGCGCTTCCCGCCGCCGGCGCTCCGGAGCGGAGACCCGGGGGAGGCGAGCGGAGCCCCGCGCTGCCGCCGGCCGGGCCACAGCGCCCCCGACGCCGGCCAGGGGAGGAGCAGCGCCCGCGCCCAGCCGCGCCGGAGCCCGCGCCGTCCCCGCCCCGCGCCACCGCCGATCCCTCTCCGCCGCGAGGGTGGCGGAACCCGGCGGCGCGCTGGGGCGGAGCAGGGGTCGCCCGGCCCCGGCCCGCGGGGACAGCGGTGGAGGGCGGCGCCCGGCTCCGCACGAGAGCGCCGGAGGAGGAGAGTTGGCACAAAAGCGCCCCGCCGGGGCCGGCCACACAATGGCCTCGCTCTCCACGCGGCGCGCTCTTCCCCTGCAACCCGGCCCCGCGCACATCTGCACTCACATCTGGGCAGGGAGGGACGGTGGTCGACGGGGATCCAGATCTTCTGCACCCGGCTCTGAGTCAGCTCCAAGGGCATCTTCACAGCCCAGCCTCGGCGGCTCTCCGCCCCTCGAGAAGAATTCAGACTTGGGGAGGAAAGCAGCGTGTCGACCCCCGAAACAAAGGGCAAGAGGGGGTGCGTACGCGGGAGCGCGGCCCGGGCGCTCTCCCTAGCGCTGCTTTTGGGAAACGTGCTTTGTGCTAAATCACGAACGCTCGCCCGGGGCGTGAAGCTGCACGCGCGCTGCGAGAGGGACAGAAGGCTGGGGCTGCAGCCGCAGCTCCCGCAAGGCCGGGCTCGTCCACTCGGGAAGCAACCGGGATGCTCGGAGCGCAGTGACAGCCACGGTCCCCGTGCGCCAGCTAGAGTCCGCCGCCCTCTCCTCCCGCTGGCCTCCTCTCCAGCTCTGCTAGGATGCCCCGCGCTCCGCCCGTGCTTTTAAGAGTCGCGGCGACAGCGACGCACCCGCACACGTCAGCCTCGGGGCGGGGACGCATTCCTCGGGTTTCAGCCCCCTTGCACGTGGGGAGAGGGGGTGGGCAAGCCAGGAGATGGCCTGGGGGCGCCCCCTGCAGGCCGGCGACAGCAGCGCGCCCTACTCCTGCAGTCCTTCTCCTAACGCCCTAACCCGAGCCCTTGCTGAAGGTCTCTGAGCCAACTCTTATCATCCCCTAGAGACGACAGGCACAGCTTCCCAGAATAATCATCTCAACGGTGCTGGGATGAAAGAAGCGGCGCCGTGAAGTGCGGTCCGTGGACGCCCGCAGCTGAATCACCTGGGATGCCTCCTACAGACTCGACCTCTCTGGGAGTGGGACCCCGATACTCCACGTTCTTAACATGCGATCCGAGCCAGGCAAAGTCAAGCTGAAGAACCGGGCTTAGGGTTAAAGGTTGGAGGGAGGTTAGCGGGGACGGGGAATGGGGGATCTCTGCTACCCTAGATGGCAGCCCGAGGGAGGATGCTGAGAGCGCCCGTGGTGCACAGCTCTCCGGGTCCCTCCTTGCAAGAGCTGCTCCCTAATAATTCTTGTGAGTCTCCCCCATCACGACCCCCACCACCCGCGGCGCGGTGGCTTCCTTGGTCCTTCGTCCTCACCCCGCCCACTTTCCTGAAGGCCTTAGAAACCTTGACTTGTGCTGAACATTGCTGCCCCAATACCCAGCCCCAAGACCTGGAACCCCGGCTCCAAGACCGGCCGCTGAGGGGCCTGGGGTGCTGGGCAAGAGGAGGGGGTGGGAAAGCCCCGGAGGCCGGACTGGAATGAAACGAGGCCGTTTACAATATTTTCAGTATACCTTTCTCTCTCCGAGTAGAAGAGTAAATAAAACTAAATCCTATTCTGACCCGCAATTCATTACCTGACTATAAACCCCGGAATAACTATTGGGAGGAGGCACCTTGATTATGAAAACCCCTAAAATTCATGACATTTAGGGGGCACAGCCCTACTGCATCTCTTCCTTGCCGATTTTTGGTGTGTATGTATCTTTTCTGCCTCCCTGGTACTCGCAGTTTTGTGTCAGCTCGAGACATGTGACAGTTATGTAGTCAAGCCAGTGCGTGCCCTGGGAAGATCTGGGGTGCTTTTAGCAGGGACTGCAGCCTGCACGGTGGCATTACATGGATGTGACTTGAGCACGCGATACATCAGCACGGAAGCGCTGCCCTGCCTTGCAGAGGTGCATCCCTCACGCTGAGGTTGTGCTGTGATTGGAAGGCAGAAGGCGGCGCTCCCTGAAACCAAGCTGCAACGGAGTAGTCTGCGCAGAGGCTGCCACACGTCGCTCACGTCCCGCATGGCTCCGCTGGGAGGGCGCCGGCTCCCTGGCTGCCGGCGCGGCTGCTCCCGCCCCGCCTGCCCGCCCCGCCCCACCCCGGCCAACCCCCCTCCCTACACCCCAGCCCGTCCAGGGGCTGGGAACGCCCAGGTCGCCCACCAGGCTGGTGCTCCTACCCAGTCCCCTCGACCCCCACTCCAGGCACCCCGCCCCCGCCTCCTCCCCACTCCCTACACCCCAGCCAGCCCAGGGGCTGCGAGCGCCCAGCATCGCCCAGCCGGCGGGCGTTCCCGATACCCCTCCCCCGCGCCCCGAACCCCACTCCGGGCAACCCGCCCAATCCGGGCATCCCCCCTTCCCCGCACCCCAGCCCACCCAGAGGCCCGGAGCGCCAAGCGCCACCCACCAGGCAGGTACCCTCTGCCCCCGTGCCCCGCCCCCTCTTCGGACACCCCTCCCGCCCCCGCCCTCCCCAGAGTCGCTGCTCTCCCTCGGACAGCTTTGCTGACTGTCTGGTTTCGGAGCTCGGGCAGCTGTTCAGAAACCCGAGTGCATTGCATTGGGACTTGTTTTTCTGCAGTGGGAGCAAATGCCAGACGTGACACCCTATAACGCCCCAGGGAGAGTCCCACTCCACTCCTGAAATAAGAGCGGGCTAATCCCAAGAGAAAAACAGCAGCGGGCGAGCGCCCGTGCCACGTGGTTCGCTGGGGTCGGAGAGGGGGCCGGCTGTGCACCGGGGGGCGGCTGCACCCTTGCATGCTTGCCACTGCTTCTCCAGGAAGAAGCAGGGTAGCAGCATGCCTGCTTGTTTTGCACCGGGTTTTTTTGCACACACAGGCAGGGCAAGCCTCGAAGCTTGCGGACAACTGTGGGGTTCAGCTGAGGGGGAGAAGGGTTCCACGCGAGCTGGGGCACCGCTTTCCTCTCCTGGCCTAGATAACGGCTCTGACCGGAGGCCAGCTCTGAGGACCCGAGGCAGCTGACGTTCCTCGGAGATCCCAGTAAGCACTCGCCCTCGCCACGCAGCCCCCGCACTTGCCAGCCCTGTGTCCTCAGGCGTCCATCGCTGCCCAGCAAGGACTAAGTTCTGCCTCATCACCTCCTGCACCTGAGGGAGGGGCGGAAGCTCACTTAATCCCTCTCCGCCTCTGATATCTAAATGCAAACAAACAGCTAGTGCGTGGGGGGGACAAGGACAAATCCACACTTTAAAATAAAGGGGGAGGGCAGCCAGAATTGGTGCCCCGCTGGCAGCGCTGAAGAACACTAGAGTAGTGTCCTCATGGACGATGAAACCACTCCACTGCAGAACCGGGTATCAACAACCCACCTGCAACCGACTTCCAGGAACGTCCTGGTTTGGGGTTGACTGTTGTAGACATCCTCCTAACTCTTTCCTAGTTCCGCTAGGGGCCCCATTTCACCCATCTAGGGCTCTTACCAAGCCGGCTGTCCCCAGTCTGGCCATCAGGAACACAGTCTTTCAGAAAAGGCTCCAGAGGATGTAAAAGTTTCTCCAACACAATGAGCTTTTGACAGAAAGCACGGCTCCAAGTACTGGAGGAGATTCTATGATACATGTCCTAGGGACTACTGAGGAACCTTCCAGACAGTCCAGGCATCCGCTTGTTTTGAGTGAGTAAAGGGATGATTAGAGCGGTTAAGGAACTAGGTCAGAGGTCAAGGAACACAGCCAGTTAGGGAACTTTTTCCCCTACTTGACACAGCAGCTAACTCCCCAGTAGACTCGAACCCCAGGGTGCTGTGTGCAGTTCTGATGGAGGGGGAGACCACAGGGTGACTCAGACCTTCTCACCCAGAACAGCTGAGCGGTTTGACAGAAAAGAGCACAGAGAGAGACCTTCTTGTGCCCGGTGGAGGTGCTTGGAGAGAAGAAGTCTTGAGCTGGGTCTACTCAGAGAAAGGATGGAGGAAGTGGTTTCTCTCCATGGTCTTCTCTGTTCCCACTTCCCTCTCTAGCGGATGTCTCTAAACCCTGCTCCCTGGTACTGTAACAACAGCAAAAAGCAACCCCATTTCCATGATCCTGTGCCAGTTAGCCAGATTTAAACATTTCAACCATGCTCATCCCAGCAGGAGAATGAGAGGCAGAACAAGCCATGGCAGGCCCTGGGCAATCAGAAGTTGCTAATTAGACATCAAGTGTCGTCATGTGCTCCCGTGCACGATCTCATGTCTGAGAGAATGAAGTGAGACACTAAATGAAAGACTGAAATAAGCCCTTACCTCACCACCCATCCAAAGAGAGGGGAGAGGCGATTTTTTAAAAGTGAAATGTTTGTCACTCATACGTGAATGGAAACACAGACGTCCACACAGTGCCACATCGATGGGCCGAGCGCCCAATTCAAAACCTGCACACGCAGGTTTAGAGCAGCTCCTTTCATTATCACCAAAACACGGAAGCAGCCAAGAAGTCCTTCAGCAGACGGATGGATAAATAAACTGTGGTCCATCAAGACAATGGGATATTACTCGGCGCTAAAAAGAAATGAGCCATCAAGCCATGAAAAGATATGGGGAAACAAGTGCATATTACTAAGTGCAAGGAGCCAGTCTGAAATGGCTACATGCTCTATGATTCCAACTCTGTGACATTCGGGAAAAGACACAGCTTTGGAGATGGTAAAAAGATCAGTGGTTGCCAGGAGTTCGTGGGGAGGAAGGGATGAACAGGCGGAGGATTTTCAGGGCACTGAATCTACTCTGTACGATACTATAATGGTGGATACATGTCATCATACATTTGTCCAAACCCATAGACTGTTCAACACCAAGAGTGAGCCCCAAGGTCAGCTATGGACTCTGGGTGATGATGACGTGCCAGTGTGGGGTGAGGGATGTTGATAATGGGGGAGGCATGCATGTGTAGGGGCAGGGGAATATGGGAACTCTATATTTTCCTCTCAATTTTGCTGTGAACCTAAAGCTGCCCTAAAAACTAAAGATTATGAAAAAAATCATAATTTTCCTACGACTGTCACATACACTTTTCTCCAATCAACTGGACTTAGATGTCTCCTTCTCAGAATGTGAGGACAGGTCCTCCGTGGCCACAGCCTGGCTCTGGGTGAACAGATGCAACAAAAGTCCCACTGAACCTTCCAGCACATCTCCATTTCCCTCTGCTCATGTTACTCCACTTCTGACAGGACTTTCCTTCTCTTTGGGCACACTCCTGAGGTGTGACCGTGCTCTTCAAACCACCCACTGGGGTCTCCTGTCCAGCATCACACCTGGCTACAGCTCTGATTAATGTTATCCTCCTTGTCAATGGCCTCATCCAATATCAAGACATATATTATTTGTGTTTAAAAGTATTATTTTATAACTTCAAAATATTTGTGGTTTTTAAAAATCAGACTTTCTGCAGTTAACTGTTAACCATTAACAGTACTGTACCAAGGTCGATTTCCCGGTTTTGGCATTTTACTACAGTCACACAAGATGTCACCATGAGAGGAAGCTGGCTGAAGGGTTCATGGGACCCGATGTACTATTTTGTAACTTCTTGTTTTTCAAAATAAACAGTAAAAAAACAAAAAACTTAAAATCAGCGATAGCTCAATTTGCTCAAATTCTGAAAGAAAATGCATAGATTGTGTAGATCCAGGC